AAGATGGGGAGGTACCAACGGAAGCTGGTGGGCCTCTGTGAGGAAGTGAAGAGATGGAAATCTAACGTCCCCAAGGTGTTCCTCTACGACTCCGGTCCGGAATCAGCACCTRGGCGACCCGGAGTAAATGTGGTGKGGTCATGCCCACAATCAGGAATAAGGGGRAGACCCCTCACTCYGCARGYACGGCTGGCGCAGGCAGCGCGAACGAGAAATCAAGCCAGAGTCAACGCCAGCCAAGAACCTCCGAGGAGGGAGGCGGAGCCAGAAAAGAGAAAGGAGGTCGTGGAAGTAGAAGATGAGGATGATGACGATGAAGAGGAAGAGGACGAGAGGCTGCGTAGGGAGGAGGATCAGAAAGCGGAGCAGCGGGCGAGGAAAAAGGGAACCAGGGGAGAGATCGAGCCGGTCATGCGCGACGGACCGCTCAAAAGGAAGAAATACGCGGTCCGGTTGGAAGAAGGATTTGACGTGGAAAAGGTGATTGACCGGCTGTTAGAAGGGCATAATGACCTCATGACCCTGAAGGAAATCCTAGCGTCAGCCCCGCGACTCCGCGATGAACTGAAGTGGAGGTTGTCGCGACGTTTGGTGCCCAATGTCCATCTGGGTACGATTCTGCCCAAGGAAGCAGAGTGGTCAGAGTCAGGCACGAAGATGGAYTGGAAATGCGTAGCCTGCGGTACGGTGAATTTGATGGTGAAGGGTTCCAAGTGCGCAGCAGTGGTGGACACTGGGGCAGAGATGAACATTTTTCGGGAGGCAGACGCGATCAGATTCGGGCTAGATATAGACCGTTCTGACTGCGGTATTCTGCATGGAGCTAACTGTAAGGCCGTATTTTGCGGGATAGCCTCGAATGTGCTCGTCGAGATTGGAAAGGTAAAGGCCAGGGCATGCTTCTTCATAATGCCAGATGTGGACCATGAAATCCTCCTGGGGAGGTCATTCCTAAGCAGGACAGAAACCGTAATGTTTAACAAACATGATGGGACGCTAATCCTCCTCTTATGTGATCCTGCCTGCGGGAATTATGAAATAATTACTTGCAGGAACACCGGGCCAAGGAGTATAAAGAACCGGCCCAATCCAGGATCATTCACAATCGAGGAATCGGAAGGGGAGCGCAGGAGACTCTGGGCAGAGCCCGAAGCAGGAGAGAGGGTGGAAGCCTTTTCCCTCAGCCTGTCAGATATTGGGAAGGTCATGGATTTAGTGGCCGTGCATGAGATGGCAGATCCGGATGCCRTCCAGGCTTTGAGGGAGCAAGTTCTGGAATGCCCCGAGGCAGGAAGATTGGAATTGGTATATCGGCTCCCAAGCAGTGGAGGGAACCCCGCATCAGCGCAAATACAATCCGTGAGTCGGCCTTTTTTAGAGGACGGCTCAAGCAGGGTTCCCAAAGGCGGTACAAGACGGTAGATAAGAAGTGCCGCCCAATACCCGTCCTCGTTACAGAGGACGAGGAAACATATTACGAAAGGGAACGAGGGTTGATTCGAAGGATGAGGGAAAGTGCTTTAGCAAGGTCATGTCGTATCAATGAAGGAAACGAGAAGGAGTTGATCATAGGGGAGTCTGATTTCCTGCTACCTCAGGAGCGAACGTTGATGGTAGAGCTAATGAAGAGGAAGCATCGCACCTACGCGTTTAGTGACGAGGAGCGTGGAAGGATAGATGTAGACAAGATACCTATGATCCGCATACATACCGTGCCACACGAGCCTTGGAACATGAGAGGGGCGCGATATTCCAATCCTGACGAGGAAAAGAAGGTGGTGGATTATCTCGATGACAAGATACGTACTCACGTCGCTGACTATTCAAGTGGACCGTATGCGTCTCCATGGTTCTGCTTCATTATGCCTAACGGGACGCTGCGGTGGGTGCAGGATTTGCAAAGACTGAATGCAGTGACTGTGCGGGACGCTGGAGGGCTGCCGAATGCAGACGCGCTRTCGGAATCCTGTGCTGGAAGGCCTATAATTTCGCTTATAGACCTTTATTCAGGATACGATCAGTTCCCAGTCTAYCCGCCGGATAGGCCGGTGACGGCTATGCATACGCCACGAGGATTAATCCACATGAACGTAGCCCCTCAAGGTTGGACCAATGCGGTAGCGATGGTCCAACGGGCCATGATTCGGGCCATGCAGTCAGTCAGCCCCCATATTACACAGCCATACATTGATGATTTAGCAGTGAAGGGGCCAGTGGTGAAAGAGAGCGATGAAGTCTCACCAGGGGTAAGGCGCTTTGTCTGGAAACACATTCAAGACCTCGAAAAGGTCCTAAGCCTGCTCGAAGAGCATAATCTCACGGCAAGCGGGGCCAAATCCAGACACTGCATGAGGGAAGCGACTATCTTAAGGTTCGTCTATAGTAAGAGAGGCCGAAGGCCGGATGTGAAGAAGACGGACAAGATTACTGAGTGGCCAGTTCCGTTCCACTCAATAACTGATGTCAGGAGCTCCGTTGGTACGTGTGGATTTTGGAGGGCCTTCGTCAAGAACTTTGGAGGGCCGCTAAGACTGAACACCTGAGGAAGTTAGTCCGTCAGGATCAGGAATGGGTATGGGGTGAAGAACAAGAAGAGGTGGTGGCAAAAATGAAAGAGGAATTCCGAGAAGGGGGGTTGGTATTAGGAGCGCCAGATTATGACGCCACAGAGACGCGACCCTTCATTGTCGAAACGGATGCGGGACCGACTGCCTTAGGGGGAGTTCTAATACAGGCA